TCAGCATCTGGTGTACGGACTACTTTAANGTTGCTCAGAAGGAATTACTCCTTCATTTCAGCGGACAAAAACTCCCAAGTCGTAGTTGGAGGACGGGACTTGTCCTCAGATCGTGTTCGCCACCATAATTTATCATCACCAAACAGGTACATACTAGTGAAATCTACCTTTTCAGCATCTGGTGTACGGACTACTTTAAAATAGTGCCCTATATCCCACAAAAAGTTCTCGAGTTCTTTAGCGTTACGACTGCCTATGAAAGGCTTAGGGTCAGGCACCTTAGCTTTCTAAGTGCTTTCACTGCCAGAAGCCAAAGAAGCATTCTGCAATGCGTTCTTGAGCACTAAAACGTCCGTCTCTAGGGAACTTAATTTCTCCCCCATAGCAACGACTTTGTTTTTCACTTGACTGAAGTGATCAAATTCAGTCTTTTGAAATTGTTCTTGTGCAACACGCATCTCCTCAAACCGCTGATACAGCAACTCAAGTTGCACAGAAAGGGCCACAGGTTCATCAGTCTGTGGAGAACCAACCAACTCCTCCAAATATGCCACCCTTTTCCTCAGATCTGCATTCGTTCCGCCAGTCATAGTTGATCTTTTTGCCAAAACCAACGCTCTGATACCAAACTGTCACGGGGTAACAACTCGTTTTTCGTTTTGAGGCTACCTGTGAAGGCGTTGCTACTGCAACCAGTCACTCAATCTCAAGAACAAGAGACAGAACTCACACAGAAGGCACACACGAATTTACTAGGACAACACTCTCAAACCTTATTTATTGAACTCAACAATTTATAAGGAACTCTCAAAGCCAGAACACTCTCTCTGACTATCAGAATGCCCAAGCACTCCTATTTNTTATATTGAACTCAACAATTTACAAGAAACTCTCAAAGCCAGAACACTCTCTCTGACTATCAGAATGCCCAAGCACTCCTATTTATACAAGATCATGGCAGATGACACCCCCATCTGCCAAAGGGAAGTTACCCACATTCTACCATTTCATAGCAAACATGGCCATCAGGCTTCATCTCTGTGCAACACCTGGCAGACAGTTTAACCCATTCAGTAACTGATGTGAAACTGCCCCACATTAGCATGCATCTGGACTAGAATCTGGCTAGGAACGCCCAGAACAGCTTCCCACAGACTAAGCCTTGTTCAGCAACTGCCCACATCCTCCTTGTCACATGCATTGAGCAGTCATGTGTCAGTCATGTGTCCAAATTCAACAGCCAGCATTGCCTCATGAACCGTTGTGCATGTTGGGTTTAGCCTATGCCATGTTATTCGAAGCTATGCACCCACATTGCCTCAATTGAGCCCACCATATGCTGCCATGCTCAACCGGGTGGTCTCATGCTGCCACGGTCCGCACCAATCTGTCGAACCGCATAACTGCATCACCTTGATTCAATCACATAGCGTGCCTTGGTGCAAGGTACCACCAAGACCGCCATTATGCACCCAAATCAGTTAGGGTGTGACACTTGGCTATATTGTGTAATTAGCATTTTTATTGATTGGCTATACAGGTTCATTGTTCCTGTCTAAATATTTTTATTTAGCATTCAGGAATGAACATTCTTTCTAATTACATTTCTTATAACAAATAAAAAAAAAATATTTTGACCCACTTTATTTCACCACAATCATGACATTAAGTTGGCTAAGTGAATTCCAATTCTTAAATTGAACATAGAGAAGCTTGAATTTTGATTATTGAAGTTAGGTTTACTTCAAATCTTCATTGAAATTTATCATCCCAAGAATCTTCAAATAGCTTTGTTGATCATGGGTGTGTTAAGAACGCTGTTTAGACTTTTAGCTTAATGCACGTCTATGTTCATTGCTTTACTGTTTCATATTCAAAATCAATAATTCTATGCAGCTTTAAATACTTATTAACATGAATTAACTTATTTATTTTTTTAATTTTTTGTGTTTATTGTTTGTGGGTTGCATTGGTTTTGTAGGTTTTATTTTTTATCGAATTGAATTTTCTATCACATAAAAGCTTGGTTTGTATTCCTGCTACATTGATGTACGATTTATTAGTGGTGTGTGTCAAAACATCCAATGCTACGGGATTAGGAGATACACTTATGAGTTAATGGCTACATTGAAGATTTTTCGTTATCTCTACTCACACATGGATTTTGGATTTATGCATGTTCTCTTTTATGTTTACGACTGACCAACTTGATTGAGAATCAACAATCGAGTATTCGGTTTTTATTTTTCTTCTTTGATTGTGTTCACGAGTTCGATTTTTTTAAAGTGTATCATGCCAAGCACAAATTTCACTCTCTTCCCTCTCTACAAAACACACCGAAAAAAACTCACACACACAACTCTCTTCCTTTCTACGCAACCCAACCCCTAAAAAAATACCTATCNCTTTCTACGCAACCCAACCCCTAAAAAAATACCTATCACATAAACACACTTGCCGAACACACACACAAAGAACAAACACTTTCTTTCACCCACACAATCATCTTGGATTTTGTGAACTTGGTTTGAATTCGATTTGATTATGTTTAATTTGAATTTGTGAACTCAGTTTGATTAGGTTCATTTTTAATTTGGTTAGATTAGGTTCAATTTGGATTTGTGAANCATGGGTGTGTTAAGAACGCTGTTTAGACTTTTAGCTTAATGCACGTCTATGTTCGTTGCTTTACTGTTTCATATTCAAAATCAATAATTCTATGCAGCTTTAAATACTTATAAACATGAATTAACTTATTTATTTTTTTAATTTTTTGTGTTTATTGTTTGTGGGTTGCGTTGGTTTTGTAGGTTTTATTTTTTATCGAATTGAATTTTCTATCACATAAAAGCTTGGTTTGTATTCCTTCTACATTGATGTACGATTTATTAGTGGTGTGTGTCAAAACATCCAATGCTACGAGATTAGGAGATACACTTATGAGTTAATGGCTACATTGAAGATTTTTTGTTATCTCTACTCACACATGGATTTTGGATTTATGCATGTTCTCTTTTATGTTTACGACTGACCAACTTGATTGAGAATCAACAATCGAGTATTCGGCTTTTATTTTTCTTCTTTGATTGTGTTCACGAGTTCGATTTTTTTAAAGTGTATCATGCCAAGCACAAATTTCACTCTCTTCCCTCTCTACAAAACACACCGAAAAAAACTCACACACACAACTCTCTTCTTTTCTACGCAACCCAACCCCTAAAAAATACCTATCACATAAACACACTTGTCGAACACACACACAAAGAACAAACACTTTCTTTCACCCACACAGTCATCTTGGATTTTGTGAACTTGGTTTGAATTCGATTTGATTATGTTTAATTTGAATTTGTGAACTCGGTTTGATTAGGTTCATTTTTAATTTGGTTAGATTAGGTTCAATTTGGATTTGTGAACTTGGTTTGATTATGCTATTTTTGAACACAAGTCTTATAAGAAATTTTGCTTTGATGCGTATTAGATATGTAATTGGATTTGTGAACAACTATAACTTTAGGTTCGATTCGAATTGGATATAAAACTGAATTGAATTGGAATGATAGCAATTACAAAATCATTTAAGTTAGTTTGTGGAGCTTTATTTCTTGCTTCATACTTTATGTGATTAAAGAGCCTTTGAGTTGAGCGTAATTGCTTGGTTTTGGTACTATTTAATTGTGTTTAGGCCGGACGATGGTAAAAACTATTATGTTGTTGTGGTAGTTGGTACATAGTTGGATTTTAGCATTCATATGACATGATTTGGGTATGATTATGAAATATATAAGTTTTATAGACCGGTTGATATATTTGTGGGATCATATTTTCAAGAGATACTATGCCAAAAAATTGGAAGTTTCTTACAATGATTTCAATTTCTCTCATTAATATAAAGCAAAGGGAGCTTGGTTTTTGAATTGGGCAAAGCTTGACTTTTGTTCATTCATTGAGGTAAAGATTGATTTAGAAGTAGTTTATGTCATTTTGTTGTGTGATTAAAGTTGTCTTTGATTGAAAAATATTATGAGTTTATTCCAATTTTTTAAGAAAATGATTGTATTACAAAATTGTATATTTGGTCTATCACTTTTACAAGCATTCATGTAGTTGTTCATGTAGGAACAATGGGTTTCTGCTGTTTTAGATGCATAAATTGTTGTATAGCCACATACATTTAACTTGGTCCATTGTATAGGCACCACAAATTGTTTTGTAGATCTTCATTTAGAATAGACAACACAATTTGATTGAATTTGTGCAATATAAGTTGAAGATTGTCAGGCAAGTTTCACAGTTTATTTATTTAGTAAAGATTTTTTAGATGCTGAATTGTGTAATTAGTATTTTATTGATTGTCTATAGAGGTTGATAGTTTATTGGAATCTAATTTTTAAGGAAAATTTTGTCCAAATATTTTTAAAAGAACAAAATAAATTCTTTTAGATTAAATATTGACAATTTTTGTTTAGCATACATGGTACATTCAGGTTTTAACNCCAAATATTTTTAAAAGAACAAAATAAATTCTTTTAGATTAAATATTGACAATTTTTGTTTAGCATACATGGTACATTCAGGTTTTAACATTCCTTTTGACAACTGAAACAAAAACATTTTGACCCACTTTATTTTACCAAAATCACGACATTAAAAATGCATTATAGACTTTCAGTTTAATGTGTGTTTATGTTCAGTGTTTGATGGTTTCGTGTTCAAAAACAATGTTTGTTTTTTCTTTTTTTTGAATTGCACAATACCTTCAAGCATGGGTTATCGCTAGTTATATAATAATTCTAAAGATGATTTCAGTCAATTCAGAAAGTGTGTTCTCCTTCCTGTATTTTTTCCTTTTCATCTTTTGAGTAATTTTTCCACATAAGAGCAGGAAACCTGAGTTTGCAAACTACACATAGACACTAGATAATTATTTGATTTGGCTAAGTTAAATTGTAGTACTATGCATGAAAACTTTATTGTGGGAGAACAAGTATACTAAGTACCATAAGCTCCGGTGTCTTCACTACTCAACCAAATCTCCTTCACTCCATCAGCTATGACATTTCTGACACGCCCAACCTGAAGTGCTGAGAATTAGACAAACAGCTGATGAATTTCAAAGTCAAGATAATAAATATATGCACGTTACATACAAGGCTGTCAACTGTATAGCTTCCTAGATGACCGCGAGCATGCTTCGTTTTGCAATATGTGCAAGCACCTAAACAACCAACATTAATTGGAAGAATCTCAACAAACTTGTTCTTTCTCACCTGTTGGATAACAAGTCAAAATCATCTGAACAAGTACATAAATAGGAAAAATTTTCCATCCCAAGTAAGTTAAATGGAAATCATTCATATGAGATAAAAAATTTGCACCTTTGGAAGATCAAGTGCCGGCAATGTCTTGCGGGTTAAAAGCCGCACCTCGTGACCTTTTAAAGTCTCTTCTACAACTTCTACCACACGATCAATTTGCTGGACTCCAACTATACTGACCCCTTCTAGCTCTTTCAGATCTCGACTTCCTTGAGGCACACAACCTGCTACCACCAGGGGCTTTTTTGCAATTTTACACTTCGATATCAGAGTGTCCATGGCAGACTGACTTGGGGACTTAACTGTGCAGCTGCATCATGATCATGGAATACGGGTAGTTCGAATATAAAAAATAAAGTCAGAAATCAAGTTAGAATGTAAAAAACTTTCCGCTTATACATATAAGAATATCTGAAAAGAGGACAGCNGTAGTTCGAATATAAAACATAAAGTCAGAAATCAAGTTAGAATGTAAAAACCTTTCCGCTTATACATATAAGAATATCTGAAAAGAGGACAGCTCAATGGTTTCCCAATCATTCGAGTTCAAAAAGAAACTAAAAGTTCAACAAACCAAGTAAGAATAAGATGCTACCAAGGACTTTGAAAGAATGTCATTCTTTTCATTAAGGATCATTGGCCTCAAATGTNTAGTTCGAATATAAAAAATAAAGTCAGAAATCAAGTTAGAATGTAAAAAACTTTCCGCTTATACATATAAGAATATCTGAAAAGAGGACAGCTCAATGGTTTCCCAATCATTCGAGTTCAAAAAGAAACTAAAAGTTCAACAAACCAAGTAAGAATAAGATGCTACCAAGGACTTTGAAAGAATGTCATTCTTTTCATTAAGGATCATTGGCCTCAAATGTGTGGCGAGGGTTGAGGCTTGAGATTTTGTCATTGTGTCTATTTCGCTATGCTCATAGTTTTGCTTTTAACCTTTCTCTTTTATTTTATGTATCTCTCTTGTNGGATCATTGGCCTCAAATGTGTGGCGAGGGTTGAGGCTTGAGATTTTGTCATTGTGTCTATTTTGCTATGCTCATAGTTTTGCTTTTAACCTTTCTCTTTTATTTTATGTATCTCTCTTGTATGTAACTTTGATCATGAGGACTACTTGTTCTCTCATGTACTCTTTCATGATTTTATTGAGGATTAATAAATTTTCATGTTTACTATGAAAAAGAAAAAAAAGAAGCTACCATACTTGCAATGGCTGAATTTTGAGATAGAGTCAAATGAGACAACCAGGGAAACAAAGAAGCAAAAGGTGACGACACCTCACACATCCTCACAAAACCTAATTTTTCCCCCATACCCAGCTCCCCGCCATAAAAAATAAAATAAAAAAACAAATTTGACATGCTTGTAAAAGATAGATATTCCTTGAGAACTGCACGCACCTCATGATTCTCAAAAAGGAGCCTATTCACAGAGTTCTATGATATCTAAAGCCTACTTCGAGTAAAAGGGTCATTCTTTTTTAGACACGGACACCTACAACTGGGAGCTGGGAGCTGCTGAGCAGAATATGTTAATGGGGGAAGATCAACATCTGGTAACTGCTCCTTTGTAGGTGAAACCCTACTGACATGGCATTATAGTTGTCAAATCGCGTATCAAAATGCATATCGTTTTTCAAAAATAGTGTATTGTATCGTGTATCATAAGACATGCGTAATTTTAATTTTTAAATAATTATTAATAAAATATATATATATACCCCTTTGTAAAAAAGTCATAGACTCACAATAACTTAGCATTTCATTAATATTCTACCAACTATTGAAGTTCCCAATATAGTTCAGTAATATCAAAATGTAAATGTCCCTAATTCAAACTTCTAACATCAACAACTTGAACAATCTAAACATTAATCAGAAATTTTGAATTCAATTGAACAACAATAACAACAAGTTTTATTTATTTTTTTTTAAATCATAATCACTGAAACGATGTTGTTTCGCTAGCTAANCAAATGCCCCTAATTCAAATTTCTAACATCAACAACTTGAACAATCTAAACATTAATCAGAAATTTTGAATTCAATTGAACAACATTAACAACAAGTTTTATTTATTTTTTTTTAAATCATAATCACTGAAACGATGTTGTTTCGCTAGCTAATGATTTAAAAATAAGTTCTAAGGTAAAACAATGTCATTTGAGCCAAAAAAAAAAACAGAATCATCACGTATTTTATTGTACTATCGTGTATCCTACGTACGGTACAAAAACGATACTGAGACATGATATGTATCATTTTTTAGGTGTATCGTGGCGTATCGTACAATACTAATAACTATGCATGGCATAGCAAGAATGANCAGAATCATCACGTATCGTATCGTACTATCGTGTATCCTACGATACGGTACAAAAACGATACAGAGAGATGATATGTATCATTTTTTAGGTGTATCGTGGCGTATCGTACAATACTAATAACTATGCATGGCATAGCAAGAATGAGTCGTTGCTAGATATAGTGTAGAGACAACTTATGGTGTCCGTGAACAACTCTCATTGAAATCTTTATTGAAGGAGCTTAGTTTTGACCTGGGGAAGCCATTGAAGCTGAACTGTTATAACAGAGTGGTGATTTCTGCTGCTCATAATCACTTTTCGAAAAAAAAATGCTCACTGTCCAGAGATAAAACCAAAAACATGTGGAAGCTGGTAAATGGTTTACCAAAGAAAAGTTAAATGCAACTTTCATTGACACACCTTTTGTGAAGATAGGAAATCAACTTGCATATATTCTGATAAAAAGAGTTTGAGCACAATGTTTCACAGTTCTTGACAAGCTGGGCATATGGAATATATTTGTACCAGCTTGAGGGGGAGTATAAAGTGTTCTAGCTTCTTCTATGTCACTGAGTAGGCATTTTTTCCCTTTAACATATGAGTTAGTGTTAGTAATATTAGGAGTGAAGGAACCCTAATCATCTCTCTCTTTTCAGCCCTACACACTCTCTTTCCACCCCCCCCCCCTTTTTTTCCTTTTTTTCTTCACTCTTTCTTCAATTGTGGGTTTACACAAAAATCAACATTACAATGTGCCTTCTGGTTCTCTCAACGATCCACATTAAAATATATATGACATTCATATCCAAGTTCCACACATTAATCAATCATTGACCACCGCCCACATGACTCTTATTAGTCATGACTCATGACCATGATAATGTGATTGAAGCAATATTAGAGCACTTAGATTCCAGGCTTGATCAAAATGGCAACCAAAAAAATGGATATGTAAATACATAAACAGGTCCTCACGTATTTATCAGCCACAGGTCTGCCTCCTCTGGAATGTCACTCAGAGCATAACCAAATGCTGAAAGTTGACCTGCCATATATTCGCTGTCACTCTGCCAAGATGATCAAAACAATATATGAAAAGAAATGCCACCTCCCAAAACTACAAATAACACTAGATATTAGAGAATGCAAAATTATTAAGCTACACAAAACAAGCAATGCTGGCAAGACCTGTGCACTGATCGTAATAGTTCTATGCCATTGACATCGTCCTTTTTCTTAAATTTTTCAAAATAATAAGCTTTGTCCATTCTCTTCTCTTTTTCTAATTAACGATGAGGTACACTTATTTAGTGCATTTGAGAGATAGTAGTACACGAATTCCACTTGTTTCTCCCCGCCTAAATTTCACTTTCAAAGCAAAGGTGCATGTTTTGTACCCTGCTCACGAGAAAATTAGAACAAAATAAGATGCTCCCAGCTACAAGAACTATCGCAGCTTATAGCCCATAATTTTATGGTTTATGGTTAAGGAGTTGTGATCTGCATCATCTGGACTATTGCCTAGCTAGCTTTTATTGAGTGACTAAGCCGCATACGTAAATGGTGTGCTTGGAGTCATCAATGTGGAACAACTTCCTGTCAATTTGTCTCTTTCATGTATGTTTTCCCTATTTCCACCCTCCTCTCTTTTTGTTCTTTTTTTGCTCGGTATTCAAAGTTTTTTTATGCATAACCAAACCAAACTTTGTGTCCCAATCATTTGAGGTCGGCTACATGAGTCCGTCTTCACCATTCATTTCAGCAATGCGTTTTATGCTCATTTAAGTTAAATATTTTCATATCTTTTATTATTATTTGGTTCAATGTTAATTTAGGTTTAACCCTACTCCAAGTGCAATTAAGAAAAATTCTATCACTTTTTCTAATCGGTGCCCCCATCTGCCTCTATTGAACATGGTCAAATTATCTTAATCTATTTTATCTCAACTTGTTCTCAATTGGTACTACTCTTATCATTTCTNGGTTCAATGTTAATTTAGGTTTAACCCTACTCCAAGTGCAATTAAGAAAAATGCTATCACTTTTTCTAATCGGTGCCCCCATCTGCCTCTATTGAACATGGTCAAACTATCTTAATCTATTTTATCTCAACTTGTTCTCAATTGGTACTACTCTTATCATTTCTCAAATACGGTTATTTTATATTCTATCCTTTCTAGTTTTTCCACACATCTACCTAAACATTCTCATTTCCATTAAACTTGTTTTGTCACTATATTGTTTCCTAGTTACCCAACATTCCGTCTTATACAATATTGTTGTTCTTATAGTTGTTCAGTAAAATTTGCCTTTTAATTTTATTGGTATCCTTCTATCATATAATATACCAAAAGCTTTCCTCCATTTAAGTCAACTGGCATTCATTCTATGAGTTACATCATCTTCAAGCTCTCCATCATTTTTAATGATCAATCCTAGATATCTAAATCGTTTACTCGTTAGTATNCTAAACTTGTTTTGTCACTATATTGTTTCCTAGTTACCCAACTTTCCGTCTTATACAACATTGTTGTTCTTATAGTTGTTCAGTAAAATTTGCCTTTTAATTTTATTGGTATCCTTCTATCACATAATATACCAAAAGCTTTCCTCCATTTAAGCCAACTAGCATTGATTCTATGAGTTAAATCATCTTCAATCTCTCCATCATTTTTAATGATCAATCCTAGATATCTAAATCGTTTACTCGTTAGTATTTCTTAATTTTTAAACTTAACTTTTTCACTATATCTACTTCTTCTATTACTAAAATTGCATTGCATGTATTCAATCTTACTACTACTTATTTTAAACCTTTTTAACTCAAGTATCTCTCTCCAAATTTTTAACTTATTATTAATCTCTCTTCGAGTTTCATCTACTATGACAATATCATTTACAAATAGCATACATTGTAGGACATCATTTTGAATATACCTAGTGAGTTCATTCATAATTNCAATATCATTTACAAATAGCATACATTGTAGGACATCATTTTGAATATACCTAGTGAGTTCATTCATAATTAGGGCGGATAAATATGGACTTAGGGCTGATTCTAGGTACAATCCAACCATGATTGAAAATTCTCTATTTTCTCCCACAANGGGCTGATTCTAGGTACAATCCAACCATGATTGAAAATTCTCTATTTTCTCCCACAAAAAACTTAATTTCAATTATAGCCTCATCATACATGTCATTTATCACCTTAATATACCTATTTGTCACTCTTTTTCTCCCAAACACCCTCCATATTATATTTGTAGACACTTTATCATACATCTTTTTAAGATCTATAAATACCACAGAAATTTTTCTTCTTCTTTATATACTTTTCTATGAGTGTCATTAATAATTGTTAAGTGTAGACGATTAACAATCTTAGAGAGAAAAAGAGAGAGGCTAAAACTTAACCTAACTCTCATACGTCGCTTGTATTTATAATTGACTCACAATAATAAAAATTACACGTACACCCTCTTGTATTTACACATAACAACCTAACATTATTAACAAACTACCCTAATACTCTTAACACTCCCCCTCAAACTGGACTATATATATCATATAATCCAAACTTGGAACAAATCGCTGTAAGACGTGTACGACTCAATGTTTTAGTAAACATATCTGCAAGCTGATCTTCAGATTTCACAAATGGAGTCGTAATCTCCCCATCTACTATCTTGTCCCGAATAAAGAGACAATCAACCTCAATATGTTTAGTTCTCTCGTAAAACACTGGATTGACAGCGATATAGATAGTTGTCTGGTTGTCACAGAATAATTGTAAAGGAGGTTGAACTAGAAATTCAATTTCCTAAAGGAAGTGTAATAGCCAAGTCAACTCACTTGTCGTATGCGTCATTGCCCTATATTCAGCCTCAGCACTGGATCTAGCTACCACGGATTGTTTCTTACTTTTCCATGAGACAACGTTACCTCCTAAGAAAGTACAATAATCAGTGGTTGATCTTCGATCAGAAGGAGAGCCAACACAATCAGCATCTGAAAAACCTTCCACTCTAAGATGTCTATTAGCTTGATATAATAGTCTAAGTCTAGGAGCACATTTGAGATATCGCAGAATACGAGTAACGGCCTCCCAATGTAGTACTCTATGACACCCCATAAACTGACTCACTATACTAACTGCATAGAAAATATCTGGTCGAATAACAGTGAGATAATTGAGCTTCCTAACCAATCTGCGATACTGACCTGGATTCTCAAACAGTGCACCATCATCCATCAACAGTTTCTGATTCGGATCCATAGGAATATCAATTGGTCTACCATCCAACAAACTTGTTTCTTCTAACATGTCAAGTACATATTTTCTCTAGGATAAATAAATACTTTGTTTAGATCGAGTCACCTCAATACCCAAAAAATATCTGAGTTTTTCTAAATTTTTAGTATGAAATCGATCTTGTAAGAAGATTTTTAATTTGGTAATCCCCTCAGAATCATTTACAATAATCACAATATCATTTACATAGACCACCAATAGAACATATCCAGTATCTGTCTGTCTATGAAACACAGAATGCTCTGTCTGACATCGAAAAAGACCAAACTCTAGAACTACATCTGAAAACTTACCTAACCATGCTCTCAGTGACTGTTTTAAACCATACAAAGATTTCTTTAACCGGCGTACATTCTTACCGTACTCCCCCTGAGCAGTAAACCCAGGTGGCTGCTCCATGTATACCTCTTCAACTAAATCACCATGTAGGAACGCATTCTTGACATCTAACTGAAACTAAGGTCAATCAAGATTAGCAACCAAAGAAATCAAGATACGAACAGAAAAAATTTTAGCAACAGGAGAGAAAGTCTCCTCATAATCCACACCATAGGTCTGAGTAAAGCCCTTTGCAACAAGCCGGGCTTTGAGACGCTCCATATAACCATCCAGATGAAATTTAACAGTATACACCCAACGACAACTAACAGTTTGTTTACTGGGAGGTAAAGGAACAAGATCTCAAATCCCATTATGATGTAAGGCATCCATCTCCTCCTCCATAGCTTTCCTCTAGCCCGGATCAGATAATGCATCTTGTAAGTGCTTAGGAATAGATATAGTAGATAATTGTGAGGTAAAACAAGAGAAGACAGAAGACAATGCATCATATAAAACAAAATGAGAAATGAGATAATTAGTAACACACGAACGAGTAACTTTTCGAAGAGCAATAGGTAAAGAGTCTAAATTACCTGATGAACTTGGATCAGAAGACGGCATGGAAGATGGTACGAGTACCTCAGTCAATGGGCGAGGGCGACGAAAGTATACACGAAGAGGTAAAGTAGATGGTAACATAATAGGCAGCGGAATATCTGAAAAGGAGGCAAGAGATGGGGGTACAAGAGACGACCCAAAGTCCAAATTCAAAGGTTGAGCTGGTGTTGAAAAATATGGAAGAGATTCCTCAAACATAACATCAGCACTGGAAAAAGTATCGTCGCAGAGAAGGACTATAACAACAATACCCCTTCTGTGTGCGGGAGTATCTAAGGAATACACATTTAGTAGCTCGAGGGTCAAGTTTACGAAACCTAAGACCCAAATTGTGAACATAATAAACACATCCAAAAAATCTTAGGAATTAGGAAAAATAAGGGCTTACTAGAAAAAGGACAGAATATGAACTTTAACCATTTAACACAGAAGATGGCATACGATTAATAAGATGACAAGTAGTAAGAACAGTATCACTCCAAAAATATAGAAGAATATTCCTCAAAAATAACAGAACACGGGTGACTTCCAACAAATGACGGTTCTTGCGTTCAACAACATCATTCTGTGAAGAAGTGTAAACACAAGACGTCTGATGAATAATGTCAGTTTTACGAAAATAAGCTAAAAAATAATCAAATTCATATTCCCGAGCATTATCAGAACGTAAAATACGTATACGACAATCATACTGAATTTTTATTTCCCTGCGAAAGGTTTCAAATATGGAAAATAATTTAGACCGAGCTTTCATCAAAAACAACCAAGTCACACAAGAATAATCATCCACAAATGACACAAAATAAGGAT